AAAATATACTTTTATATAAGAATAGTATATTGTATAATAAGCCTGTAAAATATATATTACAATCATATATCAACCCAAAGTATTTTTCGATTTATTTATAGCAATGCAAACAACTCAATTCAGTAAGGATAATATTGTAGTATTAAACAAGTATATTAAATAACAAAAAGAAAATTCTATTAAAAAGCTCAAATACATACTACTTAATCTAAATTCACTTAAGATTATTATCTTTACTGATACCTCTTTTGTAAACAATAAGGACTATTTGTTCCAAATAGATTATATAATTATAATAATAAATAAATACAATAATACTAATATTATTCATTGATTGTTCATCAAATATAAGAAAGTCACATATAGTATTTTAACATTTAAATTATATAAATTAATTCAAAGATTCAATATCAATACAACAATCACTTCTACAATTAGCACCATTCTCGGTAAGGAGATTCTATTAGTTTTATATATTAATTCCAAGTCACTATACAATCTATTTACAAAACTAGGAATAATTAGTGAAAAGAGATTAATAATTGATATCATAATATTATATCAATTCTACAAATAAAGGGAAATCGTTAAAATGATCTGGATTGATAGCCCGACTAATTCGATTGATACAATAATAAAAAGAAAATCGTATCAAACTCTTACTGATCTGATTAATATAAATAAGATTGATATTAAAACAATAAAATGAGTAGAACAGGATTAAGGAAAGGAAGGGATTAATTCTACCAATAAGAGATCAGAGACTTTAAACCAATAGATGAAGGATATTTATGATTTCACGAATTTCTTTTCTGCCATTGTATTTGAAGCCATAAAAGAGAGTTCCGAATGTGTGGACAAGGGAATTCATTCAAAGGATTCACTTCAATACAAAGGCAACTGTATTAAGGTTATTAGGCGAAAGCGAAGGAGACTAGCTCTTTCAGTAGTGCCTATATAAGGCCTACTATTTCCCTCATTTAGCTAGCTCCTTAGATTGAATACAAATAGACATTTAGGGGCCTATATATAGTGGGAACCACGTCTTCCGTATCTCTCTCAAACCAACAGTAGTATATAAAGAAGTCATTATATTATCCTTTTGATTAACAATTATATTATTGATGTTGATTGTTTATTGAATATCAAAAATTAATATAAATTACTATAGCTCTTGATTTGTGTATATATCAATAGTTTTATTTAATTAATCCATTTTGTATATCCTTTTCTCGAAGAAAGTAATATTTCGAATAATAATAACCCACTTGAGTTTAAATATCCAGATATAATAGATTGGGGAATTTGATACATATCCGATAAGATATCTAATATTTACTTTAGAATTAGTTTTATAAATTCTTTTGTTTATATCTAATTCTCTTTCTTTATCTAAAGAATATATTCTATACCCATATCAATATATTCTACTCCAGTTTGGATAAAGATTAACAATTAAGTAATCCATAACCATTAAAACAGATAATTATAAGTATTTCTGAAATTAAATATTCAACACTTTATTTAAGAATTTAAAAAATCGAGTTTTAAAAGAATTAATATTATATAGATAGATAATAACTTGTACTGCTTTAATCTATAAAAGATTAGATATATCTACAAAGATCTGTATTTTGATCTATTTAGTAATTATCTCTTATTCTACTTATTCCAATTTATTATTTAATTTGTACATATTTGATAGGAATAATTTAAGTTCTATATTTTCGATTTTAATTCAATTTTTGAATATAGTATTTTTTATAATATTAATAATTAAGATATTGTTATTCTGTTTGATATAGATTATTGAGAGATTATATTTTCTGAGTATCTAAACGAGGAAGTTTTAGATTATATTGAATATTTTAAAATAAATCTTTTGGTATAATAAAAAGCTAAAGATCTTTTTATTAAATATATTTTTGATTATTAAAAGTCAGAATATTTCAGTATATATATAGAAAATCGAATAAATTTTATTAGATTTTATAAAAGGGATGTAGTAATTAGGATTTACTAGGAGTTTATAATATTATTTACTTTATATATATATATAAATAATCAATATATTCAATTCTAAAAAATCTTTTAATCTTTATATTCCTTGTTGAAAAAATAAAATATTCAAAAGCTTTTTTATTCAAATATCCTAATTACTCATATCAAAGTTGTACAAAATCCTTTTAAGATTTAAATAGATTTTTTGATCAGCAAAATAATCTTTTAATATTGAAATTGAATATAAAATATATTAAAAGATTTGGATTTATAAATATTACATTCAGATTAATCAAATAAAAAGAAAATAGTTTGTATTCTAGAAATAAAAGATTATCTTTATAAATATAATAAGTAATAATATAATTGTTTTCAAGATTGCCTTTTTATAATATAAAATTTATTTTTAAAAATTATATTCCAGCATCTAAAAGCTTTATTTTCAAAATAATATTGATATAAAATTTAAGAATATATATAATATTAGAAAAAATCAAATCATTTTTTGAACTCTAATGTTTTTAAAGGATATTTTTAATTATATAAATATTTTGTTTAATAATCTATATTTTTGATATTTCTGTTTCAATAAATCTAATACTAGTAAAAATATATATTTATATTTATTTAGAAAATCGATATTATGATAAGATATATTATACTATTACTATTAAATATAGTACTATCAAAAAGTTGATAGAATAGATTAAAAATAATAATATAAATCTTATAATTAATAAAATCTTGAATAAAATAAATAACTATTTTTAATCTAAGGTTTTATAAATTATAGAATGAAAATTATTATTTTTTGAGTTGATTTATTCTTTCTATTCCCAAGTTTTATATATATTCAACCATTAATCATCCTTAATCCTTTTTTATATATTATTACATTCCTTTTCTATCAATAAAATTAGATTTCAGAAATTGTATTTTTCAATAAATATAAATTCCACCAACCAGTATATCTTAAATAATAACTTCCATTTACTTTTTTATTTTTCCAATTAAATTCTAATTTATAAGGATATTCATATCAACCACTTATCCTTTTAAAATCTCTTTTTCAAATATTACTTTGTTTTCCTTATAATTATTAGAATTCTATTTAAATTTAAATAATAATTGAGAATATACCCTTACCTTTAAAAGCTTAAAGAATCCTAATAAATTAAATCCATTAAAAATATCTCCAAATATTCAAAAAATAATTAGAAATTCCAAATTAATTATTAATTTCAATCTAAATAATATAATATTTATCAAATAAAAAACATACATACTCCCATAACTTATAGAAAATTATAATTACTAATTATCTTCCATTTCAACATAATATAACTTTATAGTTATATAAACTCTAATCTATTTATTATACTATTTAATTAAATCGATTTAATCTATAATTATTTGCTAAAGAATATTTCGATATTCTTAAGTAATAATAAATTTTGTAATTATTATAATAAATATAAGCTTATCCTATAGCTTTTAAATAATTGTTTTAAATAATAAAACATTAATATTATTATTTTCAAAAGTAAATTTTATAAAATAGAATATATTTATTATTTCTGTAATCCATTTATAAACATCCTAATATAATTTATATATGATATTATACTTATTTTTTTATATCAATATTCTTTTTAAAATATAAAATACTCAACTAAAATATTTTGAAAGTAATTATTTTAAATTTTACAAGCTTAAGTATTAACTTTTTAAAGAATAGGGATAAAATCATTTTAATATTTTCTTCTAAATCCTTTTATTAAAATTATTCATAAATATTAAAATCAAAAAGATACTTTGCTTAATTATTTAAATTGTATTTTCTTATAAGATCAACAATTATAATAAATTCAAATAGATTTTTAATAAGCCAATCTTTATTATAAATATAGATTAATTAATAAAGAGTTTTTTATTTTCCAAAATTCTTTAAAACTAATTAAAATAATCAAAATAGTTTTGGAATTAAATGATTTAACATCTTTCTAAATACCTTTTAATATATAAAGATATTATAGATTTAAAAACTATTTTGATTAATATTCTAAAAACGAGTTGAGTGATTTTAAGGTTGATTTTGATCTATGAAGTTGTCCCGAATATACCCACGCGCATCTATCACTCCCCTCTCAACGCTCTATCATGTACATAGAACATGATCAATCCTACACCGGGCTTATACTATACCAATATAGTTACTATCTAATAATCACTTTAATTAAAAAATAAATATATAAAATATAAAAACTAAATTGATTTAAAATATATCCTAATCATACCTACTTTATATCCCTCATCAGATAAATCTTGTCTAATTAAGTCTATAAAACACACAAGTAAAATAAATGGAATAATATTAATAATCATAAAATTAAACTACTTTGACAGAGAGTATCAGAATTAGTGCTTGTAAGGTTATACTACACGGTGAATTTCCGTAACCAACAAGTATATTATACTCCTTAACTAACGCTCCTACTAGTCATCTCGTATCCCTTCTTTACCTTCTTCGTCAGATAGGTCTCGTAGACCCAATAAAGGAATAGTATTATTATATCTTTATTATAATTCTATATAAGGATAGCTGTTTATTATTAATTAATATTAATATTATTATAATATTTATATAAAAAACTTATTAGAAAAATTTATAAAAAAATTTATAAAAAAAACTTATTAGAAAAATTTATCAAAAATTTTTATTAAAAAATTTTATTAAAAAATTTTATTAAAAAAACTTATTAGAAAAACTTATTAGAAAAACTTATTAGAAAAACTTATTAGAAAAACTTATTAGAAAAACTTATTAAATTTTTTTATATAAAAAACTTATATATTATTTAGTTTGATTAATTGAAAAAATAAAAGACTTTATATCTAATTGATGGGAGATAAATCAACTGGCCGATGTTCTAAGCCATTGAAGTAATTTCCAGATTCCCCTAAGCAGACAGCGAGGAGAATTTTATTGTATAATTAGTTCAGACACGCAGTGGCTGCTGTAAAACTGCGTGGTGCCGTTCGATGATGGCCTCCTTCATGAATGGGCTGCGAGATCTGATCTGTTTACCCCATTTGAAGACCGCGAATGGAGTAGCAACAAGCGCTAAAGATAACAACGCGAGAAGTGAGCTAGCCCATTGAAATCTGAGATCCGTGTACATTGATGCTGAAGCAAGTGGAATAAACGCAAGGGCGGCGTTTTCGATCAAAGCGCTTGCTGCATACTTGCTATATGCATCGACAAGATAGTTTGCATTGCTTACTATGATGGCGGTTGTCCCAGAGCCCACCATTGCCAGTCCAATGGTGGGTACCATTCAATGTATGGCAGAAACTGATGTCCACCCATACAAAAACTTTCCACCTGTGACACCCAAGAACCCTCCAATGACTGATGGATACAATCTAGCCTCAGGAATAGTTGTACCAGGAACTTCGGTATTTCGTACAGCGGAGTCGTAGTACCAGCGATTGGTGTACATACAAAGTCCACATTCAAATACCTCACCGATGCCAATAGCAACTTGGACATATCCTGCTTGTAGGGAGTTCCAACCATAGAGTTGTCCATAAATCTGCTCGACAGATTGAGTAAAGAGGTAGATTGTTCCAAGACTAAATGCAGCCCAAAGAGTAGCCAAAAAAACCACGGATTCTGTGAAAAGCATATACAAGGGCCGTTGCACGCTGTTGATGACAACTCGATGCAATGGTATTCGATGTAGCTCTTCTTCCGTGTATGGCACCCTTCCTTCCCGACGTAGTTGTTTAGTCTTGGCAAGCAATGTAGCCGATCCGCGGCTTTCAGGGAGGCCGATGACGAAGATTGGGAAAAAGGCGGCGGTCCAAATTGATTCAATAAAACCTATCCAGCGCCAAGAAAGAGATGGGAGACTCTAGCTGGCGCTTCACAATACATAGGGGAAGTTGGGTTAGTAGGAACTGATTGCTTTTTCTAAACTACACGAAAAGGACTTATAAATACTAGCTAAAATAGAGACATATGACCAGCACGTGCTTTCTGCGCATAATAAGTATGTGAATATAGACTAAAGCCAAAGATCTTTATAGTTCATTTTAGGCGAAAGCGAAAGCTAGCTCTTTTGATAGCCCTTATATAAGGGCTAATCCCTTTCTAGCTAGCTACATTATTAGATAGAATTCACATTAACAATTAGACTCTATATTTAGGTTCTATATTACTCGTATTCTACTCAAACTAATAGAATATAACAAAACTTATAAGCTTCTATAGCTTTTCTAATGGATGCAATAACTGATTTTAATTATGAGAAAAGAACAGATATTTGATTGCGTGATTGAAGAAAAATTATAATTGAGAGGCTGTAAATAAGAATAGAAAGAAAATTATAATTATCAAAATAAACAACTCCTCATCTATCATAGTATTTATCTCCAAACTGTTTGCACATAGATTTTGACTACTACTCCATGCACAGCTAATAGTCACTCCAATCCGTGCAATTCACACAAAAGTGTAATCAATCATTGTGAATTTTTAAAAATTTATGTACAGAGAATAAGAATCTACCTACACGTTGAATACAAACCGGCTCAATTGATCGCAGTTACGAGGCGTACCAGCGCCCACATCTACTCCATTTCAAAACATTCATCATCATCCTCTTCTTCTCCTTCAGTTGCAGTTGGAGTAGAAACTACGGTTACGCTTGTGAGACTTGGAGAAGCGGATTCAAGAACGGATGTTGTGGGAATAACAACAGTTTGTAGAGTACTAGCAGAACTAGCTACTGAAACTGTCGTTGCAATTGCTTCTTTCGAAGTAACAGAGCTCGAATATGCCACAGAAGCTGTCGAGCTTGGGGCGCTAGTCGATATGGAAGCAGTCGCAATAGTGGTGCTCGTAGAATTTGAAGCCGCGAGAGCATTATTACCCGCCGTAGCGATATCCTCAGGATCTAAATGATAGAGTAAAGAACCCCATCCAAGACTATCGTAATGACCTGATCCCTCGCCCCAGGAACCTGCTCCGCCCTCAAAACCACCCATCGTGGTGACGGTGTAGTTCATGTATTCTTTTGTCCAGGGCGCGTCGACGCCTTTGATTTGTCCGTAATGTGCGTAGAGTAATTCCCATGTGGGGCGGTAGGAGCCGCGCGAATCGTCGCTGACTTCGGTGTAGGATACTATGCCGTTGGTGTAGGGTTCAAAGGGAACATCGTTGTTGAGGTTGTAACGCGCGTAGTATTCCGCACTGAGGGCATGTTAGCTTGATGATCTCACATATTTGTGAAATGAAGTAAGTACCCTAGTAAAATCTTGCTATTGTTGAAACCATACAGATCCTCGCCCTGATTCCAGGCCTGCTGTGCAAGAACTCCAAGCAACTGAAAATCAAGCCCGGTATGTCCTTGATCACGTCCAGCTTCTTGGGGTTGTCCCATGATTTTTCCCGTCTCTGGCTCCGTAACGAGATTCGAAATACAATTGTTGATTCCACCATTTCCAGATCCAGTCTTGAAATAATCGACTGCGTAGTCGAATAGTGTGGAATTGTCTGTCAAAACACCAAATGCCATCACAGAGGCCATATTGCAAAGTTCCCAGTTGGCAAAGAAATGCTTGACATTATGTTCGGATCCAGCGCTATGGTTGAGGAAATATAGATTCTTCGCCAAGAAAGTCCTCTCAAACATGGAAGTGAAAGTAGCCAAACCGCTGTCCGCAAAAGGAGCATAGTCTCGGATGAGTTCTGCAGCATTTGCCAATTCATGACCTTGCAAACCAGTTGTAAGATACTGATCATCCACACCCTCATCATCGAAATTCTCTAGCTTTTCTCCCCACGCAGTGAGAATGGCCGCTGCAGCTTCAGCATACTGAGCATCCCCCTCTATTTTCCATCGCAACCCAAGTGCGAAGGCTGCGGCAGCATCGTGCCAGAGAAGCTCGGCGTTGGCGGTTATATCAGCAGTAGCATCGCGATAAACGCGCGCGACAGCATTGTTTGTGTAGTTTGATTGACCGTAGGAAATGCTGGTGAGTTTATCCCATGAGCTTTGCCATGGATCGAGTTTTTGAGCGAGTTTGGATTTGATGCGAGTGATGTCGGTCTCAGATACTAGGAGGCCAGGGTGAACGAAAGCAAATGTAGTATTTACAAAAAGAAAAAGTTGGAAAAGGAGTGTGTGAGCCATTCCGATATGGATCAATTTGCTAATAAAAAGAGTGACTAGAAATGAAAGTAATTGCTAAGGACAAAAAAATCTATTAAGTTTAGGAACATTTAAACAACTCCATATGGGAGAATAGAGATCCAAAATAAATTCCAACAAACTACCTGGTATAACACCCTGAATTCTGCGATCCCGCATGCCTCTATATGAAACAACATCAATAACAATAGGAGCTTGCGGGGGTAGATCCGGCAATTGTCTCCGGCCAAAGAACAATCTACCAGCCAGTCTTGGACGTTTCAATCCGAGGGGATATGGATGAAGGAGACAAAGTTGGTAACGGTTGTGATTCGCATCCCGAAAAGTTCGCAAAGTATATTAAAGTAGACTGGGATAGATTGCGGAAATTAAAGTACCCCGTATGTCCGTCCCGAGTGGGGAATATCCACTTTTCATGTCATGAATGGGAAATTAGATAAGCTGAATGACTTTGGCTTTACCATACTCCCTATATATAAAAGTATGGTCGTTGAAATTCAGAGATCTAGACCTAGATGAATTTTGGTATGGTTGATGTGGAATTGAATTTTGATTTCGGTAGGTACAATGTAAAATTGTTAGGTGAAGGATTAGGTGAAAGGGGAGAAAGGAAGTCGGTAATTCCTGGAGTTTCTACTTACTTACAATACACTGATTTCCTTTGATATATGCTGCCGTCTACAGCATTTCTTGTCAAGTACCTGGTCCACCATCTCACATAACATCTAAAATTGGTAGTAGCTTTGTTTGAGATCATCGCTGCCATTAATTTTCGTGAGCGCCGTTCTTGAAGACTTTAGGATCCTAACTTTTGTAACTAAAGGAGATTCAGAGAACTCATCATTAGAGACCCAAAACGAAGCAAACAACGGCAAAATTTCCACAAAGTTGATGAAGTATCCAAATTCTTTATATGTCGTCTATACTTTTGAACCGTTGCCATACTCAGCCTATTCATCGAGACCGCCTTTCGCAGGCATTATTTCATCTCGGAATTGAGTATTGGATATTAGATATGGTTGATTTGAAACCTCAACGGAAGAGAGATACATACAAGAATTCCCACTGGCAACCAACTCATAATATGTATAATTGTTAACATCTTGCCACTATACACAAGCCCAATGCTATCATTTAACCCCTTGGCCGCGACCTTCGCTATGATAATATTTCAGCTGACATCATCTTTGGATATAATTTTCTCTCTATCGTATCCGTAAGAGTAGAAAAGATGCATGAATAAGTAGATTTTGGGAGTTAGCTGGAATTCTCCTGCTTTCTTAAAGTTGTAGATACTCGCTTGAACAACTCCTCATGATAGTCAAGACCTTTACTTGGACAAAAGCTAACTCCAACCTGATACTGCGTTCTGGATGAGTGACAAACCATTGACCAGCGCAGGCGAGATATTATACTTTTCTCCCACGCTGACAAATCTTCTACACCTTCTCGTCCTATCCTTCATTTCCCAGAAAGTTTATTCTAACTTTTCAAATCAAAGTATGAATGATGTTGTTTGGTCAAGATTCTAAGAAATGATAGGATTTTGGTTGATATTCATTCATTTCCACACTTTCATCTTATATCATCATTCTATTCTGTATTGATTAATTCATTCTATTTCTCCAGCCTGGGACTATTCTCACAGAATAGGCTAGGACGACAGTTCTAAAGTTCGGATTCAGATAGGCGCGACTGAATTGGACTTTTTCTCTTCTGGGTTGACTTCTATTTTCGCTCTGTTCCGTATTCCTAACATATGAATCTAGCTGATTTCATTTATTAGATCAATTACAATATCAATAGATAGATAGTGTGACTTGAGAAGTGTTTGGTTGTCGTCTCACGTGGTTTTAACATGAAGATTCTTTCGCTTAAACATCGAATCAAAAGAGGCGAAAATTTCTGATGTGGTCCGTGTGGGGCGAAAATTCACCTTCATTATTTTGAACATTCTCGACATCTGCAACAAATATCAAGCATCTTTGATGGTCTAACGGTCATGATTTCCGCTTGTCATCAACTTGGCAAGTCGCGGGAGACCGGGGTTCGACTCCCCGTCAGAGAGATCTGAGCTCATGTTTCATTCTTTTTGAATTTTTGAGAGGCACATTTTTGCTCTCAAGATAGTAAGTAAGTAGTAGCTAGTAGGTACATATATATATATATACCTATCTATCTACTCAAGTTAAAATTTAGACAACGGATTTTTGATAGCAAATAAATATGTAATATATGATGTGAAAAGCTTTCGGTGGCATATCGCTTTTGTCAGAAAAAGGACATTTCAATCCGTTGGTAATTCCCGACATTACTCCGAAGCTGTAGCCAATGAAAATCTTCCGTTTGTCAATTTCACGTGCTCTTTTCTTTCTCCAATAGTTTTTGTTGCATATCGTAAAATTGTCCGTCACAGAATCCTTGGGGTTCGACTCCCCCTCAGAGAGGGGAGGGGGGTACCTATGTATGTATATGTGTGATTAAAACTTAACTTTTTTTTCTTTCTCTCTTTCTTTCTAAGGACTTTCTAAACCATCCATCAATGGAAAATTTCGAATTTCATTTATTCCTATGATTTGACTTATGATAAGATAGATCTCTCTCTCTATTCATTGAAGAAATGAATATGCAAATCTGGAAATTCCTGTAATTCATTCTCTCAGACTACTTTTCAATTGTTCTAATCTGTATCAAACATTCGTCGATTTCAACCACTTTATTCTCATTGCTCTAAAAAATTTCACACTGTTACTTTGGCTTCTCTTCATTTTTTCTCCTTCCGATCCAACGATATTGGAAAAACCACCTGACTTATATCCTACCTCTGTCGCTATTTCACAGAAGCTTTACCGCACGGGTGACCGAACATGATGAGGATCTGTTAGCATCACTCCAGGATCTCTCCACTTGGGGATACTAAGTAGTAGCATAGGTCATCCAAGGGATTGATGGAGTATCTGATGTTCAGTTTCTATGGGTCTGATAGATCTCGCACATTATGCCATGCGTGATGGATTGTCCCTTTGATTTTGCATACCCTCGGGAAGAAAGACACACCTGTCAGCGCTAGTGGCACGGCATTCATGTGGCATAATCATCTTATTATTTTCTGGTCATATTCAATGATTTCATATTGTGGCATTGGACATGACAGAGGCAGTGCATTTTTGCTCGAATGCCATATGGCAAATTTGCTTAAATCGAACTACTTTTGAATATTTGAGCACAGGTTTCATCTTTGAGCTGTCTGAAAGCAAATGCAACGAAAGTGGAAAGAAAGACTATTGGCGGGGTACCTAATGTAGCGACGAGATTCCAGTTATACGGATGGGTCGTGATGGCTGTTGCTTCTGCAGTGGGACTTTTGTTGTTGCAATTGTGGGAAAGATTTAAGGTAACAAGTTTGCGAGTCATTTCGAATTAGAACAGTTAACCAGGTCCCGTTTACAATGTCGTCAAAATGTTTGATGGTTCCGCGAAATGATGAGTGTTGATGTTTTTGATATAAGGCTTATGAAAGCACGACGAACAGTTTGAAATGTGTGGATCAATTAAGACTATGTGGATCAGGATCCACTTGCGTTTTCTTATAATACTTATTTATGCCCATGAGACTTGCATGCCCGTAGCCAATCTTCATGTGCCGATAGACTTCACAACTACTTCAGACATGAATGACATGTTTTGAAAAGATGTTCAATCAAACTAAAAACATCATTCGATTGTTTGATTTTCTCTGCACATGAGGAAAAGAACACATAATTCATTTGGCTCCAGTGATATCATCCATAACGCCATCAATGTTCTGTCGTACATAAGTAATCATGAGAGCCATTAAATAACCCTCATCCAAGACCGCCACACTACCCAGCTAGACATGAATTCTCTTGCGTTTGACAGTCACTAATGCTAAAACCATTTGCTTTTCCACCGTTGAATGCATCCGCACATGCATTGAACTGTATATCGCAACTTCTTTGCAAAGCGGCAGCTTCATTTACAAATGTGTTGCCATTGACCGAGAAAGGACGAGCTGAATCTCCACTGTTGGTGACGGGTGGTGCCGCTATACCTCCTAGTGCAGAAGTCGAGGAGCCTGCAGAAGATGAAGTGGCAGGTACAGATGATGATGTAATGGAAGGTACACTTTTTGCGATGCTGGAAGTGCTACTTTTGGACGCTTTCGCTGCAGAGAAAGAAGTCGAAGCTGATTTTATCGAACTTGCGGAGGTGCTCGCCACTGGGTTGGTGTTGTCCGGACCAGCTGCGACTGCACTGGCTGCTAAAGCTGCGGCAGCTTGCCCACCGGAACCTTAAAATTGTCAGTATGGTTTTTGGTTCTATGAGTGGAAGACAGAAAAAAAGAAGTGACGACTTACCATTATTAGATGCAGCGTTTGCAGTAGTTCCGGATCCGATGACGGTAAATTTAGTACAATCATCTGCTGTACCTCGCTGTGCAACAGGCATAATTGCAGGTTGATGATTAGTTGACGAAGCCATTGTACACACACGATAGTTTCCAGCCGGTAAGCCGCCGTTAACAGTAGCAGAAAGAAGCCCTTGGCCGTTTCCAGCATCATTGATACCCTTAAAGAAGGCGAACTGAGTGGGATCCAAAGTTCCAGTTGGGTTGAGACTGGACCCCATATCCTGCACGGTTACGTGTGTATGCCCAATAACTACCTAAAATGAAGTATTATAATTAGCAATGGCCCGGAAAGCAGAGGAAATCAGAAGGACAATGATGGATTTAGAAATCAAGCGGACGTCAAGCAGGATGAAGTGAAAAGACCTACCCCGGATGAATCAAGCTGCTGTGGAGCGGAGAAGTAAGTGGAATCCGCATTAGAAAAGGAACCTGGAGTGATGTTGGACATTTGGACAGTAATATTGAATGTTGTATCAGATTTTATCGTTGCACTACCAGCCAAAGGGAATGTAATGATCGACGACATCATTTTGTTTTTCGCGGGAATTTGACCCATCGCTGAAAGGCAAATGAGTAGATGTCGACTTAGAGATAGGGAGGCACTCACGGATTCCATTACAAGACCCAGTTACAATCTGAAGGCCATTGGTAAGAGTTTCTCCTGCGCAAAAGTTTATGAAGTTGTTTTGCGAAGTCGCAGAAGCGGCCTCGGAAGCTTCATTACCACCAATTTCAGTAAGCCCGTCACTGAATGAGCCGCTTGCGATGGCGTTTTGTGCAAGGGTAAGACTGGTGTCATCGCCGCTCGTTGCCGTGGCACGTTTGTGGATATCCTGGTGTCTCCTTGCATTTAGGCCTTCAACCAGGCCAGCTGAAGCAAAGAGGGCGAGAGCTACTGACTGCAAACGCATTATAACTCTTGATTGATCGCCCCTCGGCCTTTTAGTATATTCGCAATAGAGGGATATAAAGTATAAAAGATATGGTATATATATTACAGTGTGTAAAAGCGACGCAGTCGTGCAACTTCAGATAAAAGAATGAAGAAAGTGCTATCAAAGCACGAAAAAGAATGTAAATATCACGAAAGAACGTATGCGCACCAAAAGAAGGTGAATCGAGAAAGTCGAGATTAAGACTTATGATGAAAAGATACTTCTCAATGACGGTAGCATCATCACTCATATATGCCTTCTCTTTGAATTTCAACTGACATGTCTGTGCCGTGAGCCGACGATGGATGGTAAGCCCAGCTTGATCTTGACCAGATTCGACGATTTCATTTGCTAGCAAGACTTGCATTTTGTCAATTGAACTTGTATCAGCCTGTTTGATTCACCCATCTCGATTAATGGTTTCGGCTTCCAGGAGATATGAACAGGTTGTATTACAGTTTCGTCCCAAGAAGAATCAGAGAATAACAGGTAATGCAGGGCTATTGTAACCCAGCCTTTTGATCTGATAGAACGAAGATAAATTGCAAGGAGGACAATATTAGTACGGCTGCTGGGGAAGACGCAAGAGATACGAGGACTATGACGGAAAGTCTTAGCGATGAGAAGTCTTTCAATATTGTCATGGGTATTGTAGCTTGGGATGAACATGTATCAAGTGCCAAAATATGATACGCTTGTTGCAAGAGATGAAAAACCTCGCGTCTGAAATTGTAAGCAGCAATAATATGACACCCCTGAACCCCAAAACTTCAGGGAGGGCTGAATGCATCAATTTAGGCCACAAACATCGGCAAACAACTTATTAGCTTTTTGACATCGTGAATGTTGACATTGTCCAGAATGGAATGATATGTCCAAAATTCATGTAAGAAGTTATTAATGTCAGTAGTATCTTGATGGTGGCGTGGAGCATCGAAAAGCAATCGGGCCATCTTATCTTATCGCCGGATAACCTCATCCCTGTCATTGTATCAGAACATGTACAGCGGGTAACATGAGACGAAGACAACAACATCACAGGAGGGTATGGGATGAAGGACTGCATTGGATGACACTGATCAATCCATTGCCAGAACCCCTCCTTCAGCCTTACCCATACCGGATTGCCATTTTCTTCCATATATCTGATCCTGCATGGCATTCTTCCTTATGAGTTCATGAGCTTCGTCTGATCATAGGCTGATGTAATCCCAGAATTTTTGAACAAGGTTCAAAGATACTCAAGTGCTGCTCAAACTCGCATCAAACCGATCTAGCTTACCTTTAATTCTTGTCTGTTTTCTTCCATATAAGTCGTCTTGGCAATATGGGGGAACAGCCAAAAATGCACCCACGCTGCTACAGTGTGTGGACATGTGGGCAGGTATCAAATCATCACAATTTTCGTCTCAAGAATATGCATATGATTGATATAAGACCCTTCCCTCAAAGATCTAACCACGATCTTTTTGTTGTCCTGACCTTAAATATCTTCCCTCTCTCACATACTCGTTTTCGCTTTTTATCTACTTTTCACGTCTGGAACGTCTTTCATTAATAAGTGTTTTTAATTACTAGTATATATTCTTATATCATTATTATACTCATTATTACTACACCGGTTAAAAGCAGGAAAAACATAACAACCATCATGCATTCAATACTGTTTGTTGCAATCCTCGGAGCCATGGCTGTCGTCAATGCTGCTCCAGCATCTACAACTGTAAACCCCGATGCAGTTACAGGAACAACGTGTACCGATCCTTCAACGTAAGTGTTTAGCTATGGAATGAGACTATCAAGTACTGATATAGTCACCAGAACTCTTGTATCTCATGATATCAACGTGGCTCTTCTCGGAATTTGTGGAGGTATAGCAGGGACTATTCAACAAGTGAGTGAATTTCTCTATTTTGGGAGAAGAGAAAAATTTCTTCAAAGGGAAGGAGAGGAGAGTGAAAAGACGTATGAAGCATTACGAGGATATGGTAGGATATAAGCCGACTGGGATAAGAGGGTAGAAAGAGATGCATATATTTCAAGTGATAATATCTATCAAATTGAGTTTAAATCATTTTCCGATCACACCATGCTTTCTTTGGAGATTAAATCACAAGATCCCTACCGTATACGCTCACCACGACAAGACGGAATAAAAAGTCGAAGAGACTAAGTAGTTTCATTTATCCCTGGACTTGGTAGAGTAGGGGCAGAAGTTGAAAACACTCGTTCCTACTTTTATCTCTGCCTCAAATCGTTAACACTTTGTAAAATAGTGCGGTGGCGAGCCTACGTCAACAACCGGAGAATCGGGCACTGCTCTCTTGAAACTCAATGCTGCTACATCTGGCCAGACAATTGATATCACGAAAGGTAGATGGGAAGGATGTATGAGAGCAGCGAGAGCGGTGTGCGGAGATAGTCCTTTCACCAGTACTTGCATTGGTGGAGCGAAGGTGAATGCTGGCAATGTAGACTTCGAACTTTCTGCCGCATAACAAAGTGTTCAAGGACTTACAACGGTGAAGGAAAGGAGACATACTGTATGATTGGTACATGACCATTAACTTCAACTATTTCTTCCTGTATAAATGCCCACACCTATTCTAGTGATATGGAATGATATTAGACTTGATGGAAAATGTGCAAACAACGCTCTGACAGCCAAACTTTTCAGATATCATAAACACAACGTATTGACATTTTTGGCCGCATTCTTTGGTTATATGGAAGTAAGCTTCAGTAACATATATGCAGTCTACTGAAATGTCATACAGCAATTCTCCAAGTAATCAGTCCGAATCGGATGAGAGTATGACATTGAACTATCTCCAGAAAATGAAGCATTCCTATCATCCATTACCATTCTGAATTCCAATGTCACGGCATTCAGACTAATAAATGACTTATAGGAACAACCAGTGATGGTAGTTGTACCAAAAGTTCAGTCACATACCCTTGAAAACTGAAGTGGGATCAAAAAATTGACAAAAGGTATTGGCTTGAAGCATAATCACGTGGCGCATCAAGTCATGTGATGAATTTGTGGCAGGATCTTATTCGTGGAAATTTGTGAAAAGAGACAAACAAATGAACAGGGCCGCGACCACATCTGAGGTACGCGGGTACGGTATATGAACTACTTAGATACGCTTCCAAAATCTGCAAACTTCTTGTGTATACTTTCCGATCTCTAAAGCCAGCCTTTACACATTTCAACTGCTTTCGTCCATCGAGAAAATTTTTCCTTACTTTCTTCTGGAGTAATTTTAGGATGGAATTCAGTTTTTCCTACGGTATTGATATTCTTCAATTCGTCAAAAGTTTCCCAAACCCCCACTGCGAAACCTGCAGCGATGGCGGCACCCAATGCTGTTGTCTCCAGCATTTTTGGACGTTCAACCGGGATCGAAATAAGATCGGCTTGAATCTGAAACAGTTTTAGACATTGCCCAAAATGAAAAGAACCGTACAATAGAACTTACTTGCATGCAGAGATCAGAGTTACTCATGCCTCCATCGACGGCGAGTTCAGCGAGTTTCTTCCCGCTGTCCTTTTCCATCGCGTTCAATATTGCTTTTGTTTGGAAGCAAGTCGCTTCCAAAGTGGCGCGAGCAATATGACCTTTTTGTGTATATGCTGTGATGCCGACTATTAAGTGGTCAGTACTTAAGTTAATAGATGTCGGAATGGATCTTACAAAGAGTCCCGCGAGCGTCGTCGTACCAGTATGGTGCGAAGAGCCCACTGAATGCAGTCACAAAAGTGACACCGCCATTATCTTCTACAGTCTCAGCTAGCTGACTGATCTTGGACGAAGAGTCGAAGAAGCCAAGGTTATTCTGAAGGAACTTGATACTGGAGCCTGCGACCGCAATGCTTCCCTCCAAAGCATATTGCGGTTTACCATCAAAGTCATACGCGACTGTACTCAAAAGCCCATGTGTGGAAATTACAGGCTTGTCGCCAACATGGTAGAGAAGGAAGCAACCTGTCCCATAGGTGTTCTTCGCTCTACCTGGTGTGAAACCTTTCTGTCCAACGAGCGCCGCACTTTGATCACCTAACACACCCGTGATTGGAACACCCTTCAAGATTCCTGTTGCAAGAGTACCGAAGGATTCGCGATCCGACGACCGGACAATCTTAGGAAGACTACTACGTCAGTGCGTACTTTAATTACAAAAGAGCAAGAAACTTACTGAAGCTTATCCATATCAAATCTGAAAAAATCTAAAAGCTGTTCGTCATACTTGAGAGTATGCAAATTCATGAACATTGAACGCGATGCATTCGTGGGGTCTGTAACGAACACATTCTTCTTTGGCCCACCATTGAGCTTATAGATAACCCAGGAATCAACGGTACCAAACGCAAGATGACCTCGAGCATATGCGTCGGCGACTTTACCATTGTTTTCAATCAACCACAAAAGCTTACCAACAGAAGGATAAGTCGATAGGGGAAGACCGCAGAGACCCTGCAATTGATTAGATCCAAGTCGAGCTTTCAACTTTCTGACTAATGCCTGATTTCTGGTATCTGTCCACACTATAGCATTTGCTAGAGGTTCTCCTGTTTCGTGGTCCCAGACGACTGTTGTTTCTCTTTGATTTGTGAGTCCTACGGCTTTAATCTGTCTCGCCGAATGACCTTGTTGCTCAAATTGTTTGACAGCACCTTCAATACAAACTTCTATCGAGTCGATAATCTCAAGAGGATCATGTTCATGCCACCTTTTCATGGTCAGCTACGCGTTGACAGTGTCAATGTATGTACAAACCCTGATTGTGGATATATCTGAGAGAACTCGACTTGATGCGATGCAACCGGCTCGCCGTCTTTGTTGAAGATTAAAAATCTTGTGCTTGTGGTACCTTGGTCTATGGAACCTATGAAAGATTCATGATTCGACACTGACACGAAGGACTCATGGCTAGAAACTGAAGTGTGGTCACCCATATTGATTATGCTGCTATTCGCAGATAAATGTGCCAAAACCTCTGGCTTTTGTAGCCACGATGGAAGAAGAAGGTATGGAGCAAGGCATCTAGAACCCCTCGCCCGGACAAAATTTCTCCATATTCTAAACATGTGATGCTTCAATGGACCTCCAACTCAACGAATCAACTTAGTCAATTCGAATGGCTTGTACTTGAGGAGCGGGGTCAATTCCGCTAACATCTTGTGGCCGAGCAAAGTCTTGTTATCTTGGTATTGGCCAACAGATTGACTTACTAGCGTAACGTTACGGTAACACAGTTTATCAAAATCTGCATGCTGAATGGTTGATTCACTCGGACGTCAGAATATTTGATACAATCGTACCATTCGATCTATGCCGTCAATATTTACAGGGAATTGAACCAACATCTCAACTAGCGGCTTAACTAACCCAAGAACCAGAAGAAAAGTGCGATTGTGGGGGAGGGGGCACAATCCTGGTCAAAACACTCTGGGATGTAGCAAAATCTCGACAAGGAATGAAGGGTGATGCTTACATAGTACAGCAGATGCAGGTCGATATATCGATGTTAAGAACTCGGATGATAACCCCCATTGAGGCTTTTCACCAAGTAAATTTCTCGCACCATGCTTGTTATCTCGTCATGCCTCGGTAGGTATCGGCACACTGCATTCGTGGACACCACCAGATGATGCTAATTGCACATTCATTGTGACGAAGTTGAACCAACAAGACTCGAAATTGTGATATGTTATTTTCTACGATTATTATGTGCTTAGAAGTCAGAACCACTAATAGAAAAGGCCAAATTCAAGTGAAGATGGAGTGCCAGAGCTACCTAGTACTGCGTTGGTTGAAGGCTTCTAGAACAAATAAGACTAGTGAAGTTCTCGGTTCATGAGACGGCTCTTGCACCGCCATCCACTACCCCGCAATCTCGCCATATGCAAGAGCACCGACCTTAGTGCCAAATGACCATGATTGCAACCCACAAATGATTACCAACGCCAACAGAACAGACGGGTCAGCATCCCCACTCAAGTTAGATCTGCATTAGGGATTTTCCAACGTTTTCAAATCTTAGGAATCGTTATGCACATGGCGCCCCACCAAGAATTCGAACGACATGATCCTCAAATGCTTGGGACAGTCCAAAAGTCCAGACAATCTACAACGATGATCCCAGAAGGTTATCTGCCTGGGGGCTGTATGATGGTTGAAAATCAATCCTAGGACGAAATTTTGCTCAACATGTACAAGGGCAGCCTTGGACGTATCAAGTTATGAGATAAGTCGCCAGTGGTGAATTCCATAGCAAAACGTCCTTCAAGCCTTCCGGAAACAGCTCGGGTATCCGTCAGCCATCAGCTTGGGGCCACTAGAATACAACGCCATGCATTTGTGAAATTTGCGAATGTGTAAATGCTGGCGTTACTTTAATAAGAAGGTGTTATATTTACAATCACAATTCAAGCACTTAGCCATCCAGCATAGATATCGGCAACACCGTCGTGCCTGATCTTCCTGGAGCTATTTACATGTACTGTGCCGTAAATCAGGTCTATACCATGCGGAGAAAGTTATTGATACGATTTCGAGTATCACAAAGTCATACAGTCGAGACTAGGATAAGTAGATCTCTACCCGTTGGGCAGTCAAGTTGACCACACCTACCTGAAAGATGGGGTTTGATTGGAAGTACCGCTTTAGAACCGTTCTTGTGAATACGAGATTTGTGCTGTCAAGCATTGATTGCATCGAGGAGAATGTGCAAAAGATGAATCCATCCGAGATTGGAAAGTTGAAGTCTTTTACAAGCAAAAATTGAATTACAAGATTAACAGGTTGATGGTGACGCTTCCACACTCTTCGTTATTCTTGAACATGCCATCATAGCTCGCACTACTTTTGTCGAGAGATCCACGTGTGTTTGGTTAGGTCATAATAGTTTATTGAACCACCATCTAACTTACTTTCAACTTAGTGTGGACTGGAGAGACAACATTTATTTCAGATTTTTATTAACCTAAATGCTCTATTGATATTGTTGATGCGGGGTTAAATGACCAAGACTGCGCCGTCAACCACTGTCTGGTTGCAACAAGGATATAACGAACTCATTGATGAGCTACCCCTCTTACGTTCTTTGGAGGTCACCCAGAGCTCATCATAGCATGCTGTTGTGAAGCCACTTTCTATTTGTCGGCATAAAGGTGTGTTATACATGCCGTCAAATTGCTCACGATATTACAATTCCTTGATTCTTCCCGCACTGTGATTACTCCGATGCAGCTGAATTCACAGTTATTATTATGACAATCTCTCGGGTAATTCAAACTGAGCTGTCTAATCAATTTTTCTTCCAAACGTTCTGCACTTACAAGGAAGGAGTTTTGAGCATCATGGAGGTGCTTTAGTGTCTCCTCTCAAATAGGCGGCTAGGACGGCCAAGTCTTTCCTTGGTAATATTGTCCAAAACGGCAACTTGGCCTCTTCATGCAACTCAGAAGCGCCAACATAGCTTGTTTCTAAGCCTTCGTGGTTAGATTACTGCCTCGGCATGCTACCATGCTCGCAATTGCGTTGCGATAGTTCCAATATTACAGACTTCTTGTTCACATGTTCATTTCATTAAGGGTGGTGACTTCGGCTACAACGCGGTGTCTTCCGCCTCTAAGAATCATACAAAGAGGTATTACTCAAGAATTCAAGCTACATATAGAACAGTATCCATCTCTTGCAGGTCCATCATCGTCACATATATCCAAGTTTGCATTCACAGAATCGCCATTCCACGCCTTTACTTTCTCAATTCACCAAAATGAATCCAGATAAACAAGGGTCGCCCATTCCTGCCGTTAGCAATGACAAGCACATGGGGATGATGGAATCCCAACAATCCTCGCCAGACCTCTCATCACACGAGTCTACGCTGGATGGAAACAACATGCACACGATCTCCAGTGGAGGTAGCGGTGCTTATGCAGAACATGGTCCTGGAATCGATCATAAGATCCCACAAGAACTCGAGATACAGTCAAAGCCAGACCTCTTGTGGAGTCGTATCCGACATACCATGCGAGAACCGTTCTCGGAATTCTTTGGTGTATTTATTTTGTGAGACTCCACCCAAGCCTTAAGTCTTTGTTTTATATAAAACCTCTTTCTTGCTCGATTAATAGTCACTGACATTCAAATAGGATCTTGTTTGGAGATGGTGTGGTTGCGCAAGTAGTCTTAAGCTCGGGCGAGAGAGGCTCCTATCAATCAATATCTTGGGGATGGGGGTATGTATCTGCCCTGCTTTCAACGGTATATTGGCTAAAAGATTTGATAGCATTGGAGTTATGCTTGGAGTATATGCTTCAGGCATTAGTGGTGCCCACATCAACCCAGCTGTGACATTCGCAAACTGCGTCTTTCGAAAATTTCCCTGGCGCAAATTCCCCATCTACATGTTGGCGCAAGTGTTGGGGGCAATGTGCGCCGCCGGCGTGGTCTATGGTATGCCATTTCAAAGATTTTATAAAGCCAAGATCTAATCTGCTGATCCTTATAGCAAACTATAAATCTGCCATTGATATGTTCGAAGGGGGGAATAATATTCGAACTGTGGGCCTCAACACATCATCTGCAGGCATATTCTGTACCTATCCCGCCCCTTTTATGACAAAAACAGGACAATTCTTTTCAGAGTTCATCGCAAGTACGATACTCATGTTTTGTATCTACGCTTTACAAGACAATGGTAATTTAGGTTCTGGAAATCTTACCCCACTTGGACTCTTCTTCGTGATCTTCGGTATTGGCGCTTGCTTTGGATGTAAGTTGTATTTCTTTTGAACTCACTCATCGCACTATAGATAGCCAAGATACTAATAATTAACTCTTCATTAGGGGAAACTGGATATGCTATTAATATGGCTAGAGACTTTGGTCCAAGATTGATGAGCTACTTCCTTGGATATGGTCACGAAGTATGGAGCGCGGGAAACTATTACTTTTGGGTACCTATGGTAGCGCCATTTTTTGGATGCTTGTTTGGAGGTTGGTTGTATGGTATGTGCTTACTGTCCTTGATACTCATGCTCTTAGGGGATATTTTCTGATATAAAGGTATAGACGTCTTCATCTTCACCGGCGAGAGCCCCATCAATACTCCTTGGATGGGATTGAAGCGGGTTATGCCTGGGGGTCTCGGGAGTAAGAAAGTAGACTCCGCAGTTTAAGGCCGGTGAGAGAAAAGAGAAGTTTGGTACCGATGCTAATCCTCTCTGTACGTTAAAGAGAAGGGCATTGTTGCGTCAGATGACTGAACTGCGCACATTCAATTAGAATCTCAAGTACTGAACCGGTGCCAACGGGAAATTTCACAAGGAAGGAAAAAAGGAACCGACCGGCTAATTCTGCCTTGTTATGAGCTAAAACACATCATCATATACTAAGGTGTCGGGAAAATGAATAGGAACTTCTCGGCAACTCTCAATATAACCTTAAAATTTAACTCCTTTAATCAAACAAACACTATATGTACTAAGTCCGTATTTAGTTAGATATGGTGGAGATTCGCGCGATCATATAATTAGCCGTCAAATTGTTCCATGATATGTCATTTGTTGCAACAAGACTGATTCTGATGTTTTCTTGGCCCCCTTTAGCTTCCCGCTAAGCGCCCAGCCCCACTGTTATTTTTATCAATCATCCACATTGACATTTCCATCAGGATTTCATTCACTAGACCACAAAGTTATTATTTAAATAATAGACCCAAACAGTCACTGTAATTCGCAGTCCACGTTACTCGTCAGCCAACGGGATACACGAGAGTTTTTAATTCATATGATGAATAGCTCATAAAAACCGTCATTAAGTGGTCATTGCAGATCTGTCCATGATAGTGTGAAATGAAGTCAACAAAAGCAAAGCTAGAACTAGTTTCAACGGTCAATAGTGCCTATTGGCTATGTAGAGATAGTGTTGTAGGAGAATTTAGCGCAAAATGACAGATGAAATGGCCGTGAAGATTCAGTTGGTTCGGGCCTCCAGATATACTAGTTCTCACGCTTTTCGTAATGCAACACCCCGCCCTGCTCCCAAACCAGATGTTCTTCTCTCTCCGGCTCGGTAATAATTCTGCGTTATTGTAAATAGGTCCATTATTGCCGATAGCGATTTTTTCGCTGGATGAATGCCAGTAGTAACTTTTGGCATTTTCTCGCTTAACCTGTATTATAGGGTATTTTTGGGACAAATATTAACAAAATTCGATTCTCTTGTAGTGTGATTGGTTGAAAGATGAATTTATCATGTATTCTGTTTGCGAGCTTAATCCAAGTACTTTTTTGGGGATATGTCTAACCTTTCAAGTACTTGTTGGTTCAGAGTGAAGCTCATTTCACATCTTCATAACCCTCCATTCAGCCGATACACGCAGATTCAGACTATTGATAATCATTATCCATAATTGCAAAATCGTATTCTCAAATTGAAGATTGCTTCTATCAACGCCATCGAAATGTGAATTTAACTGGTCATGAAATTGTGCAAAATTGTCATGACCACTCAACTTTTGCATGCGATATCCTTGGAATACCAAACCTGTGAGACATAGCCTTAACCAAGTAACATCAAAATAAGGATGGTGAATCTTTAGAAAGTTATCATTATTGTTATTATAAATCCGAAAGACGTCATTGCTTGTTGTTCACCCAAGAGCACCCGTGCCTTTCGTTTTCGAAGCAAAAATTTCTTCTTACCTGACACTCAATTGCTGCATCTAACAATTTGAAAAATATAGCACGCAGCTCGCGTCAAGGCTCTCGTCAATATTACCTCATTTTATTTATTCGCGTCCATAATACGTGAACGCGAATCGTGTCCTTCGGCATTGTATTGCCATTCCAGTTCAAGATTTCTCTATCACTCAACCCAAATAATGAAAACAGGCCATTAAGTACTATTATTGGAATTCATTCTCCATCATCTCCAATGATTACACCGAAAAAATCTCGCTCAAAATATGCAGTTCACAAACCTACGTACACTCAACTCAGAATCCTATATAAAACGCTGTTCATTGCAACACAAACGCGTATCAATGTTCCCCATTATGAAGGCCCCAAACTATCATCTACCTACCTGCTAACCCAATTCTTATTTACCTCTTGATTCTACACATGATTCATCGAGATCTCTGTCCCTCAAGGCTCTCGTGTAAGATACGCACATGATGACATTACAGAATGGGCAATGTATTGTATGCTACAAATGCTCCTGAATCATAGTAATTCTTGGTAGCGCAGCGGGAGAAGCCATTGTAAACATTCAAAGTGTCAAAAGCCCCGAACGTACACTGTCTAGAATCATCTGTATCGTTGTCAAATCACCTAAGCTTGATGAATCACTTAAGGTATACTAATTCGTTGGGACTGCTGGATAATTTGAGATGGGACGTTGAACACCCAAACGCGACTGCCGAAAACAGGAAGACATCGGAGAATACCCCATTAAGGCTCGAATTTCTTGATAATGTCGATTCAAAATCAATTCCTGAGGAGATTGATGTTATGGGAATAAGAGGAGGATCATGAGTATTGTCATATGTCACAAAAGTATGAATGAAGCAGTTTCCCTAATTACTGATGGCAATACCCTCATTTTCTTTATCTCTATGGTTATTAACCACGCGCAATATGAGCCTGCTTGCGCGGAAGTAATGCAATAGAATCAGTTCTTGAATCTTGAGCCTCAGTGGTCTTCAGGCAAAATTCGTCAAATGGAAATAGTGTTATACCAAGAAATTCCACAACCAATATACAGTATCTTGCTCCGAATTGGGAGGCTTCAGGGAGAATTGAGTTGATCATGGAGCTTCTAGGTTAGCTGATGGAGAATTGTATTGAATTAACAGGAGATAGAATAGAAGAAGAGGTAGCAGTCAACGATAAAAATATTATGGCTCGGGCTTAGCAATATAATCTAGGTTTGAATAGCTTTGCTGACGCAACGTTAGAATGAGAAGAGAAAACACAAGTCGCACGTGTTTGTGTCTGATGGATAGACCATTTGTCGGTATGTCCAATGTCAAGCGAACTCTACCCACTGTTCAATCTCATCTAATGGCAATGGAAAGCACCGTAAACTGTCCAGACGCGATTTTACGGAAACCGGAGTCGAATTAGCATGTGGAATGAATGAGAGAAAAACGGATCATGTCAAGTGTCTTTCTTCAACTGGCCAACTTGGAATTCTGGTGTCCCGTCAGAAGTTTACTCTTGTTACAAGGCATGAATTCCTTTATTTGATTGGATGGATCCAGGCGCTCCTTGAGAACTAGACGTTAGCGCTTGGCAAATCTAAGTTTGATTGGCTCCTGAAAAACTAGTTCTACCTGTCTTCCTCTTCTGCTCAAACGTAGTAATAACCAGTTAAATCAACTGTTAAATCAACTGGACCGACGTGTCGCCAATCCCACGAGAAATTTCAAGTTTACTTACAACCACAAAATTTCTCTGATCATACAATCACTTCATATCAGCTTGTAAGAGACCATCAAAAAATGTGTGTCTGGGAGTTTGTCTACCTCACAGTGAAAGAGGTCGGTCTTACCGAAAACATGCTTTGTGCTCCAAATTACACCAATTTATTATCTTGGACACAGATGTTGAGATGGTGTTGGGATATCTGGACTGAAGAATGGGAATTAGCACAGCAAATACCATAAATCGAAATCTTCGTTTAAACTTGAATCATTTCTTGCTAATGATACTTATATAAACGAGAATTGGCTTGAAATTATACCTCGTTGTGCTCAAACATGAAAGTTCACAATTCTAAGTATTATCTTGGATGCAGGACTCATTTCAAGCTAGTTTGATTTCCCGACTCGAAAAACAGCTTCACAATCCGTGATAGTCATCCCGTATATCAACTTTCCGTTTTTTCGTCTTTATTCCTCACAGAATTCCAACGCATTGCTATCGTCTTATTGTGTTTCTATCTCTTCTTTGCACAGCTTCATGTCTAGATACCACCTATGCACTGTCGTCCCACAGAACTCTGAGAAATAGATTATGTGCTATCCTCGTGCCTATACTTTCCTCACAAGGCTCTTACTTGATGAGTGATTTACCTCCCAATCTCATCTGCATCGGTTTCTTTTTTTTGGTTCTCCCGCTGCGGTTCCATTGAAGCAACTTCTTCTTCATCCCTCTTCAGATAACCCAATTACTCATCCAATGCTAGACGTATATCAAAGCACTAATAAATATTATATGTTGCGTTCCTGAAGCAGGAGAAAAGTGGTGCGCAGATTTCAATCATTGATAGCGCCCATAGTATGGGACAATCCATTTCCATCCGAAGTTCTGCTCGTTGACTTCAGACGCATTACAAATGAGATAGTTATAGCGGGCAGGCACAGAAACAACCAAATTGTGGAGGAATTGCCACACTGGTCAGAAGTTAGTATCGTGTGAAGCTTGAACAATGTTTGGATCATTGTTTGGATCGTCGGATAGTGGTCTCGGATGCAGTGTAGGCAATAGTATACTATAGTAAAACGATGGCGCATATAAAGCTTTTGATATGATAGATAGTATGTATTGGATAATTGAATACTCATTGCTGTAGATATTATTTAAGATAGATATCTACGAAGATATATGGGAAAACTGAAATATACAAATCTAATCCTAATAAAGTCTAGATAATTAGAAGATTTAGTATGTATAATAACTAATTAAGTATATAATAGTTTATTAGAGCTTTCCTTTTTATTTTAATAAATTAACTAATTCGATAAACCCTTTTCTTTAGTAATTCAATAGTTCTATAATATTAAAATATTCAATAATATTAATAAAATCTAGGAATAGCCTTATTCGCATATTTCGGCTTGTTCTGTAACCAATCAAAAATCCGTATTTCTATATTTTATTAATAGTATTCAATATTATCCTAATATTGAATATTTTTAGTAATATCGAATTTTATACCACGTACATACATATTTCGAAGAAAAATCGATATGTACCATTATCTAACCCGTATACGGATTACGGGAAATACTATTGCCTACACTGCTCGGATGTGGTCATACCGGATCTTTTCGAAGATATTATTCGAGGCCTCTGAGGATGGCATTCTTCCTGTAAGAAAGAAAAAGCTTGGATTCAATACAAAATATGAGAGACTACCGCAATATCAATATTCTACTTAAACCCTACAATACGAAGGAATTTTACAAGTTGGGAAAGATCCTCCCAGTGACTTGACCAGATTTCGTTGAAGGCACCAGCCAGATTCGGTCAAGTTGCATTTGCACTGAGTACTGCATTATTCTACAGCTTGAATGTAAGATCGAAATTGCTAAAGCCGTTCTTTAGCTTCCGATATTGCAAAAAGTAGCTAGGGGTTAAAATGCAAAGCCCCCCACCAAACAACCTTGCAGCTGCAGTGAATCATATTGCATATCGGGTTCCAGTAAGCCATTGAATGGTCAATATGCAGAGTTAAAGTCTGCATCGCTACTGTTGCCGTGTCGAAGGTGTGAAGTGGCGGTTCCCGGTCAATAGCTATATGGAAAGACTCATGATTAAGGAAATTGAAGGATTTCTTTGAAGTGAAAAGTAGATGAAAAACACAGCAATTGGAAATGAATACCCGCAGGTAACTTTAGGCATAAAAAAAGAGATGCATCATGTAGCCTTTGTACATGTGACTACTTGATTAGTATTTTCCCACTGTCTTATCTCTTTTGTAAAGGAAGATTCACTAGTTTGCCTGTCACTCTCATAGCTTGCGTCTCGTTCCGATTCTTCGTTCCTGTCAGGTATTCATCCTATCATGTCTTCCAATCCAGTGTCATGGTTCCAGTGTATCTTGCAGCACTTCCTGCTACACCCATATTTCTATTGCACTCCGAGATGTTAAACTTCCGGAGATATATAGTTTTATCGGCCATACTTGTTGGTCTGAGTTTTCAATGTTGTATTGGTCTAATATGCGAGACTTTGCCATCACTGGTAAACTCATTGATCCTGGTCGGCCTAGTTTTGTATCCTCGCGTGCTGTTCTATTGCTAGTAAAATTCATGCGCCGGCCCAGTGATGATTTCTGGAACTTTTTTAATCTACCTCCAAGCTGCATTAAGAGTGGGGATCCGGTTGATATCGCAATACCCATCCCTGTCTCAATGAAACTCCACAGTTGTGGGCGAGGCCCAATGTATGTGAAATCTTGGGGGTTATAGTATAAGTCTATCAGTGCCCAGAGACGTAGTATAGAACTAATAGTGGCACTTTGAGACGGTGTCAGCGAACTACCACAAGTTCAAATGTGGGATACCTTACATGCTTCCCACCGAAAACATCAGGCATATTCTGAGTTTCGCTCCAGTCGTTATGGTAAGTCCCACGACACAGGAAATTGGTAAGAGAGTTAAAATGAAATCCGTTCCGATATTCGGTATAGCAATACCAAGATAAATAGCTTTGAGATTCAAACAGGACCCTGGTGTGTTAGACGACGGATAACTCCACGCTTTTTCAACAGGAATGCATTGAAAGATGGTAATCCCGAGCTATGACTACCTCATTAGCTTCTGGATTAATAGTCAACAGTTGAGTGAATGGTACTAACAGCAACTACCAAATAGCACACTGTCAAAACAATCAAGATCATGGATATTTTCCTGACCGAACGGTGCACGTGAAATATGCGGTAGATCATCATCGACAGGGAAATCTTCGCGGCAACAACGGTGAACATGTAAAGAATCTCCAAGATATAGAAGACTTTGTAGATAGTAGCGATGGAAGTCACACTAAGAGTTTCCATATGCTTTCCAAACCCAAGCTTGATACCTATGAACTAGTCAACATTTATGCAAATTATCACTTCAAGCGATTTCCACAGTACTGTAAAGATATCCCACAAGTTCACCAGTCAGCGAAATCTACTATATTAGCAACGTCCTTAGTGACTTGACGTAGAATTACTACCGCAAGAATCATAAGCCCGTCATCGATAACATATAGTACCTTTTTGCGAGACTTGTTGTATATCGATATTATGGTACACATAATGGCCAGTCCATATACCACACTACATGCTACTATATTGGCAATTTGAGCATTGTCCAGTGATGGATGTGCAATAGATGCATTCATCATTTCTGGTATAAATGTATAGTCAAAGCTTGTGCTATCTAGGAGGATGTCGAGGGCAGATGAGAGTACTAAAAAGCGAAAAGATAATTCAAATGGCCATAAAGGATATGAAGCTCAACGAGTATGCCATACTCGGAAAGTAAATGCTTCTTATAAAGTATTGCTTCTTTGGATTGATCTTGCCTTGCCATGAAATAACAGGCTGAGTACGCGAGTTGGGTAGTACTGCAGTTCTACATAGCCGAATTCAAAACTGGCCCCCACGAATAACCGACTACGACTATTTGGTAGGCAAAAGATTACTAGTGAACTATCGGTCCACGAGTTTGACAAAATGATTTGTGTGTATTGAATTTCTTCTGCTGGGCTGAATGTGATAGGGTTTCCCTTCATATGAAGAAGTTGTACTCGGCTCTGTGAATAGTGGACCATTATAAAATGAAAGCATTTAAATAGTGCTGCTCCTCACAGCTGACGCCTTCAGAATGAAACAGAAACCGATTTGCACCTACATCTCCACTAGTATCAGATGTTGAGCCAGTTTATATGTTCAAAAAAATTGCTTGATACCATTCCCAAAGATTCCTGACGCTTGGAGTTGGAATTTTTACCCCGGACCTATCTCAAAGGATAAGTTGTGGTGTAGTGATGATCTACATCTGACAGGCATAGCCATCACTACCCTGAAAGCGAGAGACCTTTTATTTGCTAAATTTGTGTTATTGCTTTATTTCATCCTGTTCGCTGTTGATCAATTGAATATTCGGGTTGACTGAGGAGAAAATATCAACTCGCAGTGTTCTCAAGATTGCAGGTTTGCGGACCATGCTTCCAATATTCCAGGAGTACTCATGGCAACGGCCATGGAGACATCTGCATGGAACAAAAGGACAATAGTCTACAGGGTGACTTTCCTGAATGCTGTGGCGCTACAAAAATGGGGTATCAATTCTAAAATCATCTTCAACATATTTCCATCAATTACCACCATGTGTTTCAAGCTTCTCTGTTCCTATATCAGAAAGAACTTCTGCTGCTGTTCTCGATTGGTTGTCTCCCTCCACTTTCTTTTCCGTTACTTCCTTTCCACTTTTCACAATGAAATACTTCCCGCCTCCGAATTCGACCTTTTCAGTCGCAGTTCCAGTCACATCCCACTCTTCTACACCTTGTGTGTCTATCGCAATCCCTTGCTGCCTTCGCGGTCTTTTGTTTCTTCCTTTATATTCCTCTTTCTTTAACGCTTCTTGGATTTCCTTAGTTTGCAATCCAATTGACTCATGCGCTTCAGCCTCCAACGTCTCATCCCTAATACTTCTTAGGGGCTCAATGCCCTCTGTATTGACCTTCTGAATATCCCTCAAGAAATGCAATTGTAAATGTAGTGTATCTAGTAATTTCTTTTCTTCTTCAGGTGTTTTGGGAAGAGGAAGTGCGGAGAGTCGACATAAATGATGAAGTTGTTTGACTGTAATTTCTTCGGCAGGCTTCTCATTTGGAGATGGTAGAAGAGACCGAACGGACCAAGTTGGTTTTGATAGGAGCTCATCGATGTTTGTCTGTTGGTGAGAAAGATCCACATTTATTCGAGCATATACTCGGCGGACTGGGACCTGTTGATCTTCCGGCTTGGGAGTCAGAGGTGTCGTTATCTTACTTCCGTGAAGCTTTACACTCCGCGGCACAAAACGACCTGAGCTGCTTCCTGATTTGGGTAATGAGCTTCCACCTGCTGCAGATGTCTCCCGGGGGGCTTCTGAAGTACTGTATGTTCGAGGAAGGGAGATTTGTGCGTATCTGAGTTTTGTGGTAGGAAAGGAGTGCCGCAGCGATGCGCGACATTGTAAACAAATGGATTTCGACATTTTATGATCAATTAGGCGACAACGTTGTGTTCGATGAAGATCATCGATTGTTTATTGTGAATTTAATAAAATGTTCCCATGCGTTCCCCAGAAGTACGCTAGTGTGATTCATAGGCGGGGCAAGGCTATGTCAGAGCGTAAGGACTAGAAACAAACAACCCTTGCAAGAGTTGTCTTCAAAACCACGAACACATGTCAACTCTAACAACTCATTAATACTTACAACTCTTGATCAGACTCATTAATTGATAATATTTTGCCTGAGACATATATTGCACAAAAGATTACAACACAAAAAATCGCAATCATGGCACAAGATCCTCGCACTCTTATGCAAAAGGTACCAACCCCACCATTTGCTACTCAATAAGCTTCATATTGACATTTCCCCAAGGCAGATAAAGCAGTTGCAGGTGCTTCTGGTGGCTTCAGTCTTTTCGGTGGACGACAGGAGAAATGGGAAAATGCTGCTGAATTATATAACCAAGCTGCGAATGCGTTCCGCATGCAAAAGCAAAGTAACACTTTCTCAAGTCTTTGAACCTTTACATTTATACTGATACCCGTTTTACAGACAAGGAAGCCGGACAAGCCTTCGAGCGCGCTGCCGATATTCAAACCAACAAATTGAACGAACCGGATGATGCTGCCAACACGCTCACAGAAGCCTTCAAGGTATACAAAAAGGGGGAACCCTTAGATGCGGTTCGATGCTTAGACGTTGCGATCAACCATTATACATCGAAAGGAAACTTCAGAAGAGCTGCCACGCATAAGCAGAATTTGGCAGAAGTATATGAGATGGAGATTGGAGACATGAAGAAGGCAATTGAAAGTTATGAATTAGCTGCCAGTTGGTTCGAGGCCGACAATGCTGAGGCGTGAGTTTTGACCTCCATTATTGACACCAAGGCTATTGGTATTAGTTATGAAGATGTACTGATATATCCACAGATTGGCCAATAAACTTTATCTCAAGGTCGCCGATATTGCCGCTCTCGATGGCGACTATTATAAAGCCATCGAGCATTTTGAGAAAGTAGCAGCATCCTCCGTCTCGAACAATCTCATGAAATGGTCGGTGAAGGATTATTTCCTTAAGGCCGGTCTGTGTCATCTCGCTGTCGGCGATACAGTGGCCACCGGGCGAGCTTTCGAAAAGTACAGAGACATGGATCCAACATTCCCAAGCACAAGGGAACATCAATTATTAATCGACCTCGCCGAGGCTGTTGATGCAGGCGATCAAGAACAATTCGCCGACAAACTATTCCAGTATGATCAAATGAGCAAGTTGGACAAGTGGAAGACGACAATTCTGTTGAAAATCAAGGGTGCTATTGAGGAGAAGGGTGATGATTTCTCATGATCAAAACTTTGTTCAATTAGAGTTAGCTCTTGTCGTTTGGCGTTTGGGTTTTGGGTGATATCTTTTGAGTTAGCTGCGGAGAAATATGTTGTCATGGTCTTAAGCTTTGGCTAAACAAATATTCATACGAAAGTGATTAGTCTGTATACAATTATTTGAACCCAATTTTTAGGTCAGTGCTTGAGGCATAATAAAGTTGACTAATGTCATGTCTTCCGGTGAACCATTTCCCTGGTATATCTAGATGAATTAAGATATGATATAAATTTTGAAGAGTAAAGGATAGAAGGAGGAATAAGATGTGTAAACTGTAAATCTAATGGGGTGAACTGAAGTGAAGTGTTATCAAGGAATTAATCATGAAATTATTCTACATGTGTGCTTTCTAAATATCGAGTAGAAGCAAATGAATAATGTAATCAAACGAACAATTCATAACGCTAATCATAAAGATGAAAATGAAGAGATGTTCCAAATCTCACCCATCATGGATCTAACCTCTCGAATCTGTCTCCCATCAATTAACATGCAACTTCTCCACATCCTCCTGCATCTTCATCTCCTCATTCTTCCTACTCACCTTACTCTCCAATTTTCTCGCCTCGTCCTCTAAATCTGCTTCCCCCTCCCCCCTCCCCTTCCTCTCCATCTCCTCATCCTCCCTCTTCTCCCTCTCATCCAACAACTCCAACGTCTCCTCCTCCTTCGCCACCTCCTCCACATCGATATCCTCCCACCCAATCTTTTCCAAAATCGTGCCGACGAGATACTGATACCTCAAGTGTCCACTGACCATTTCACTCACATTTACGTTCTCAACCCCCCTAACATCTTGCGCGGGTTGCAGACCCGCAACCCCAAATTGGATGCTACTGGTGCGGTAGAGGAAAGCGAGGATGTAGTCGTTTTCGGAATAGACGTTTACGAGACGTCCTGAGACGACGCTACGCATGGCGCGCCATGCGGCTGCGTCGGAGGGAGCGGGAGCGCCGATTAGGACTGCGGATCTTTTGGGGGGGTTAGTAGCTATATTGTTGTAGAGGATGGGTGTGAGATAAAAGGTGAGAGAGGATAACTTACTCGACCAAACCAAATGCTCGACGTTCAGCTAGACTCATCAAACATGAATAGATTAGTCTAGCTCCCAAACTATATCCAATGAGAGTAACGGGTCTCTCTCCCTGCGCTTTATTGATAAGTGCATCTGCAAGGACTAAGCCTGCCTTATCAGCGCGATTTTTTGCAACGGAGAATGGATTATCGACGACTTTGGAGATTTTTAATAGACCGAGGGGCCATAGAGCGGTCATCAAACTGGCGAAGATGGTGCGAGCGATGATTTCTTTCTTGGCCAGAGACCAAGCTGCGCTTTTGACCACCGATTCTAATGATGTCCCGAGCTTGGATAGGGCTTCGAGTTCGTATCGCAGTGCGAATACCTCGCTTTGGTGTCCGAGTACCCGCCATGGTGTGATAACATCTTCTTTCTGGGTCAGCCATCCACTCACACCTATTGTAACCCTTAATCTTCGATCCTTTGCCGCCAATTCCTTGACAGATTTTTGATGTAGTGATCCCCTAAGCGGCAGAAACGCAAAATCCGAAACCTCTTTCGCGTACGAATCCATCATCTTTCCCGTCATACTAGCACCATAAGCACCAAAAAGACTTCCAACAATGACTCCGCTTTCCGCCAGAGCTCCCAGCAAGCCTGCAGCTGTCGTTGCACCAAGACCTAGTCCTCCCATTACAGTGCCTAGAGCGCCTGC